GAGAGGTTAAAAATATGTTTTTAAGGTTTATTTGACTATATTAGAAGCAAAAGGAAGAATAACCAAGTAGGAAGTCCTCTTTATGAAGAAAACAGAGAAATGCCATCAGGTGACAGAGAGAAGGAGGAACTACTGATGCATAGTATAGTAGTTGAAGCAGAGTTCTGATCCTCAATTATCCTTGGAGCTCAGTGAATGACATTGGGCCAATCTAGCCTTACTAGAAATGGGTACATCTGTCAGTGTCAGTTTCTCTCATTTTTACAATCTTAAGTTCAGTTTTCCAAATTTCCACATCACATTTTTTAATCAGCATTTTAATGGAATTTTGTACATTTATGCTCAGCAGTTATCCCTAATGCATTTTTGTATGTTATTTTTAACTGATATATGCATTTTTGGTACACATTACTTGTTTGGAAAACAACATTGCAAAATCTGGAATGGCACTGATTTCAAAACGTGTCTGTGTTTCATTCTGTATATTGTTTTGGAAAACTTGTTAGGTTCACCTTTAAATACTAACTGAATCAAATTTATCCCCCATTTCTAAGCTTGACCTACTTCACAAGGTAGTTTGAAGCTCAAAATGAGTGTTTGTGTAGATGCTGCTTTGTAGGAACAGTGTAGTAAAGGGTAATGAGAGTTAAATAATGATGATGGCGATGGCAACTGGCCATCCATGTAGAGAAATTTGTTTACAGACAGTTTCCTGTTTGTAACAGAGTCTTGATGAAATTATGCCTTTAAAAAGCATTCATATAAATCCGAGACAGGGACCCTGCGGCCCTCTAGACTCCAGCTCCCACCATCCCTATCCCCTGGCCTTGCTGTCTGGAACTGATGGGAGCTGGAGCCCAACAACACCTGTAGACTCAGATATTCCTTTTTATATAAATGATGATTAATCATATTCAGGATTGTCAGAAAAGAGACTGAGCCACTAGCATTGGGCTTTTGTATGAATTTGTGGCACGGCCTCATTTGGAGTTAGATTGCACTACTTTGCTTTTATCATTGTGCTGGTTTGTGTACTTTTTGGACATAATTAGATTTCCCTGTGTTTTCGTTGTTTATTGTTCAGTTTTATAGTTTGAGGGGTGACCTGCCTGAAAAGATTTCTAGAAGCCTTTTAAACAAGCAACGGTGTGTACAATTTCAGCCACTCCCCATCTCAAAAAAGGACATTGCAGAGATGGGGAAGATGAAGGAAAATGCCAAACCAAATGATAAGAGTGCACCTTCTATAAGAACATAAGCAACTGGTATTCATAGAATCCAGAACTGTAGAGTTGTAAGGGACCCAACTCTTCCCTCCCACAATGCAGGAATCATCACTGACCCAGCAGGAATCACCTCTGTGCCTCTGACCACAACTATCTCTACTAGCCATGATGGCTATGCTCTGCCGCCGCAGTAGGAGGCAGTAATGCTTTCTGAATACCAGTTGCTAGAAACCACAGGAGGAGAGTGTGTTCTGGTGCTTGGCCCCTGCTTGCAGATTCCCAACATGCATATGGTTGGCCACTGTGAAAACAGGATGAGGGACTGGCTGGACCATTGGCCTGACCCAGCAGGCTCTTCTTGCATTCTTATGTCAACCCAAATGATAGAGTGCACATTTCCCATGGGAGAAGGCTAAAATGTTTGGGACATTTTAGTTTTAGGTTTTTTAAAAATGACTATGGTGAGGTGGAAAAAAGGCACAGAAGACCCCAGGTTCATTCCCTGTTGTCTTCAGGTTGGGATGGGAAAAGCTCCTGCTCAAAACCCTGGAGAGCCTCTGCCAGTCGGAATAGACAAAACTGAACTAGATGGACCAATTAGTCTGACTCAGTACAAGGCAGTTTTCTATGTTCCTCTGTTTATGGATGTATGTGTGGTGTTTAATTCAGGGATAGGAAACTTGTGGTCCTCCATATTGTTGGACTAGGAGTCCCTGATAATTGGCCCTTCTACCTGGGGTTGATGTGAGTTGTAGACCAATAAAATATAAGGAGGGTCACAGTTTTCCCATCACTGCTTTGATTTGTTTAAACTTTCAGCCTTCACTCTGCCATCTTATCGCAACGTGTAAAACATTGTGTTCTGCAGTAGTGCAGAGCACCATCAGAAGTGGGACCCTTCTTTACACCTCCCCTAAGCTGACAAATATTAGGATTTCATTTGTAATCAGTAAAGTTGCAGGGTTGGGGGGAGCTGAATTTGCAATACAGTAGAGAGGGGATTTAAAATTCAGGCACTAGTTAATCTTGGCCTCTTGAGTTTGCCTGTCAAAATCAGCTACATCTAGTAATAAAAACCACCTAAGGACCTTTTTGTACTGACCTTGACTCCCCATGATCCAAAGGTGGAGCTTCTTTCTGCCAAGTAAATCCCTTGTTAATGTTGCTGAGATTGAAATTTATGGTCATGGAAGGTGTTGAGCCACCAGAACAGATGGTTACTTACTAATTTGGGGGCTATTTGGAATGTTTTTTAAATCTGAGCAAAACTGTCCCATTTTGCAAGCTGAAAGGGCCATAAGTTTAAGGGGCTCGTATATTAAATCATTGTGTGTTTGCCTTATTGCAAAAGATTATTTGCAGGATAATTTACAGCCCATTGTCTGATCATCTGCACAGCCGGAGGCAACTGAGATAATACTTTAGGGACAGATTTTTCTGTCCAGTGATCAAACTGACTCATGAAAATGTACAGCTTGCTGATCACTGAAGCTGTAGTTGGTTTTTCTGTTTCAGGATAACATCTCTATTAATCCATGTTATAAAAAGAAGAAATACATTTTAAAACTACCAACATCCTCATTTGTATTAAAAAAACTACACTGATCTATGTTTGTCCAAATAAGCTGGTGTTTCTAGGTGTCTGGTTCATCACTTGCACTTATTTATTACTTTAAAATTAAAACCAGGAAATAATAACCAGAACCCCTCAGGGGATTATCTTAAAAAGCATGCTTTCACTCATGTTTTCATACAGAGGGTTCATGCGGTTCTAATTTCCAATACAAAGAATATATAGCTCGCTTCATGGTTGACATCACTTTCCACAGAAAGTTGCTTGGTGGTTCTCCCCCCCCCCCCTTTGTTTCAATAAGATATTATTATTTTATCCTGTTGTCAGATGTTTGCATTGGCAGATCTTATGCAGTGCAAATGATCATTCTGGCTGCATTTCCAAAAAGTTGCTTTGAATAAAATGCTTAGCAAATTAACATGAAAATGAAGATGGAGGTTCTGAGTACAATGGAAAAGCTTCATTAACTACAGATTCTATTGTTCTTTAAGTAAGATGCTTTGACCTTCCCTATTTTTTGCTTTCCCCTCTCCTCATAATGTTACTTTTCCCACTTTTCATTCATTGGAACAAGCCAGGATCCAATAACAAAATAAAGTTGAGTAATGAAAATTAATAGGGAGTCTTAATATCCAGGCGTGTGGAGTCTATCCATGGCAGATGAATTGTGCCAACCAGTAATAGCATGATATATTTACATGGGCTTTTGTACTTCTCCAGTACACAGCTGAATCAGATGGATTTGGAATGCTTCAATGTGTTGCCAGCTATAATGGTCAGCAGTGGAGGGGACCTGAAAGTCTTCCTCACTTGGACCAATGGTAATTCTTTCACCATATGAAAGTTACAAGATTCCTCCAGGGAGATGGACCCAGCTGCAACTTGTTTTTGCTGTTGAGCAAAAGACAAATGTTGGGCCTTTGGAAAGAAAAGGTTTCATCAAGATCTTAATACACACACACAAAATGAAAGACACAAACAGCCCCTCTATAAAACACAATTGATTGTCCCTGTGGGTATTAGGAGATATATCATAACTCCAGCACTTTCTGCAGCTGTTCTCTACCTTCTACATCTGGCTTCATAGGTAAAAAAGAATGGTGTGCATAGTAGAGTCATCATCACCACTGTCCCAGAGGGGGGGAAAGATCCAGTCAGGGGCACGGGTGGAGAGGGAATATATTCCCATGGAATTCATTAAATCAGGCAATCAATTTATGAGCATCAGCTATGTCCAAGTAGCTACATTGCAGACTTTAGGATTAGCCAATTTGGATTCCCTACAGACTACATCCCACATCAGCCCCAGCCAGAATGGCCAGTAGTCAGGAATTGTGGGAGTTGTAGTCCACAACATCTGGAGGGCACCGCATTGACTTTGGTCGTTTAGCTGTTGCTGTTTTTGCTAAGGATGCTTGGGGACTATAGGTTTTTCTTTTGCTTCAGCATCAAGGAGGAGGAATAATGGGTGTACTGACAGTGTAAAAAGAAAAAAGTCAGTATCATAGTTAAATGATGCTCATATCATTTGAATATTTCCAGCAACCCTCAGCATAGTGCCTTAGAAAAAAAAGTAAGCCATCACTTAAACAATGTAACACCATTATATCTCCAGGGCTACCAAACAATTAAAGCAACTAGCAGCCCCTTGGGGGCTCAAGAAATACCATTATTAATTTCTTAGCAATGATGACTGCTTACATCATTTTTTATGAAATAGCTGAGGCTCAACTCTGCAACATGATCTACAACTGTTGCTGGTCTTTTTCTGGTAAAAGGCTCCATAAACTTTGAGCTAATAAGCAGTATTATTATCAGTGCTTTTTTTCTAGAAAAAATAGGTGCCCTCACTGTGAAGTTGTTACAGTAAGTGCAATACTTTTTAACAATTAAAGTGCCCCCTGAAAAAAGCACTAATTATTATCATTTATTGCTTTTTATATTAAAAAATTGTCTCAAGTTGATATACAATAACCAAAAACAAGCAAGCAAACAATTTTAAAATCATGCAAAGTAGACATTTGTTGTAAATATTCATTTATTTAGCTGGAAAAGCCTGTTGGAATAAATGTATATTCAGTTGTTTCCATGAAGCAAGCTAACAAGCACTTAGCTTCCTGAGTCTCTGCTACCCAGGCCTTTTGTGATGTCACAACAGCTGAGCCAATGGTGACCAGACATCATGGCTACATCAGCTGATGATATTACCAGTGGTGTGGCAGGCAGCAAAGTCCGAAGTCAAAGATACTGAAAGTAAAAGAACATGCTAGCTGGGCTGATGGTAGCTGAAGTTCCAAAGATCTGGAGGATTCCAGGTTGAGCAAGACTGGTAAACCTAATGATGAATGGATGTTTAAGGCAGCTTCCTATAGATTTACCAGTTTATCTAGCTGCTAGGAATGGGGGAGAAATTCACTTAAATTTGCATTTACTGGCAAATGTACCTACTTCACACTTTCTGAAATTATCTGAGAAACAAAGCATCCTGAATTTGCTTCTGCCCATATTTAATGAAGGTCATATTTTTGTAATAGCTGCATAAAATGGGCCATATGTGAAATTTGCTGCCTTGCTGATTTTAATTTTCCATTAAATCCAATTCCAATTTACATCTCCCCCAAGTATAATCTCTGCTTAAGTAAACTTCCCCTATTTCTTAAGCCCTTTATGAAGAAAATCGAGCTGTCTCTTCACTCGGTGCCAATAGTGACAGTAAGGTGACCATTGTGTGTTTTTCCAGGACTTCTTCAACAAATAGGCGTTGGCCATTTTTATCTCAAGAATTCCCGCCCCCTGCCCCCCAAGTCTAAATCTGCACCTATTAGTATTGCCACACCCATCTTGTATTTGAGGCAAAGACAATATTTACCAGTTCTTTTGTTAGTAAAGATGTTATTTGAGATGTTCATTCTGTAATAAACATCTCTAACTATTTGGTCTATTTCCCAGTCTTTATCACTTTAAGCCTTGCTGCATGTCTGTACTGTATCTGTGGGATGTTTAAACTCTAAGCATCCAATGTGTTTCAATGCCAGTCATACCTATTTGGAAGAACTCCGAGACTCGAAACTCCATTTCCCCCCTAATCCTAGCTGTTGGAGGGCTTACTACTTATCAGCCTTCTTCCTCCTCCAAATCACCATCATTGTCTTCTTTGTCTAGGCCCTCAGCCCTTATTCCTTCAGGTAGTTCCAACTGCAGAATCTATACTTGGTTGCTGTGAGTGGCACCTTTGTGGGGCACCACTAAATGAAAGAGAAATCCCTAGTAATATCAGAACCCCACTTCCTGGAGCTTTAAAGTACCGTATTTTTTGCTCTATAAGACTCACTTTTTCCCTTCTAAAAAGTAAGGGGAAATGTGTGTGCGTCCTATGGAGCGAATGCAGGCTGCACAGCTATGCCAGAAGCCAGAACAGCAAGAGGGATTGCTGCTTTCACTGCGCAGCGATCCCTCTTGCTGTTCTGGCTTCTGAGATTCAGAATATTTTGTTTCTTGTTTTTCTCTTCCAAAAGCTTGGTGCGTCTTGTGGTCTGGTGCGTCTTATAGAGCGAAAAATACGGTAATTGACATCTGTAATGTTTCTGGGGCTATGTCTGGGGCAGTTTCATGTTTTTTCCTATTCTGGTTTTACCCCCTACTCCCAGCTTCATTTTTTATGAGGTGGCACAGCAGTCTATTAATTCTTGTTGGAAAGTCTTAAACTTCTGTGCCACCTCCTCCTTCATAGCTGATTTCCAGGCCGCTGAGGTTACTGGCGTGTCCTCATTCATTTCTTGTGGCTGGTCCAGCTGGGTGTTCTGATGCCATTTTAGATGCTGCGCCATCACCCTCAGGTCCCAAGTGACATTCTTTGTATATCATCGCAAAATGGACTCGAATGTTATGCTCCTTAGATCTCCTTGGTCCCTACAGCATACCCCATTCTAGAGACAAGTTTCAGGGATGATTTTCATAAACAAGGGAGCTATCAGCCTATGCCGCCATCTTGTTGGTGGTCAAGCTCCTTCCCTTTCAGGAGGATTCTTTAAATAAATAAAAATGTGGAATTGTTGAGAAAAAAAGATCTGAAAAATGAGAAACTTAAGAGAAACAAAAATTGACAAGTTCACCCATACCTTCTAGCTATTGATTAAAATGGACCAAATCAATGCACAAGCCAGGGAAAAGTATAAATTTCCTATCTAAACATAGCCTTTTCCTACCAGGTTTGATTGTTGTGTATGTAGAAGCTCATTTTAACGCATTACATGAAGGTGAAGGGACACCCCAGGTGAAATTATGCTTGAAGGACAAAGCCCTAACCTGATATGCAATGGTGTCAATCCATAATGACCCAAGTTTGGTTGGTGAAGGAAGTATGGGTTTATGTTTGAGCAAAGGAAATGAGTCAAAATCATTTTTTCCCTCTCTCTCTCTCTTTGTTAAATGCCTAGGCAAATTTCTTTGAGGTGGTTTCCCTTAAATCTCTCTGTGTTTTTTCCCCCTTTTAAATACAAAAAATACCATTTGATTTTCCTGGACGCTAACCTAGACAGCTGATAGATTTTCCCTCATTACATGTGACAGGTAACCCCCCACCCCACCCCAATCAAGTGGCCTTCAGAATATTTTTTCATTTGCACAAGAGAGAGCCTAAGTTCACTTACACACACACACACTGTCCTGGAAGCAAGAGCACATTCTATCATTCTCCATTCCAGTACTCCTCCCCAGGGTAAAATTGGACAGAGTACATTTAAATGTCACTCAAACTCCCCTCTTTTTTCCACTCAGTTTTAACCATATGGGTTAATTTTACCCTCTCTCTAATTCCCCTATTATTACACATTCTTTAAGTATTTTTTTAAGTATTATGAGGAGATTCAACACATGTTGAGGATTTCCCCCCTCAATTAATGGGAGAAAGGGAGGCTGTTAGGTCTCTTTTTGCAATGTTTCAGAGGGAGGGGTTCAAGAGAAAGGGTCTTTCATTGGGGATTGCAAAACATCTCATGGCAAAGGTCAGCAGGGTAACAGGAAAATGATTTGTGTTTGCTCTCTGAAGAGGTGCATCAAGAAAGAGTCCAGAAATGCTTGCAACTTTTGTTTAAAATGCAAAATAAAATTGCATACTCCACCAAACATGCTGTTTTTAAAAGTATGTCCGATTCTTTTCCATTATTTGATTAAAGTTCGTTGAGGCCCTAAAGCAGTAATAATTTTGAGGATCCCTGCTCCACCATTAATATTTATTTTGCATTTAGGAAACCCAGCCAGATGGCAGAGTATTATTAGTATTAGCATTATTATTATTAATAATAATAATAATAAACAAATTTCTTTCTCGCTTTTTGATCCCCAAAATGGATACTCAAAACAGCTGGTAAAATTTACATTATGTGGTGTGGCACTTTAGAGCAGCTGTGGGCAAATTTCAGGTTTGTGGCATCTACTTTGTAGTCTGTAGTTTGTCATATGGAGAAGCCAAGTGCAAAATATTGGTGGGACAGGAACCAAAAGCAAAAAATTAATAATTGTGACACGGGGGATGGAACCCATGACCAACACATCTGGCTGGTTAGAATGCTCCTGTTGGAAGTTAAGGAAACACTGAAACATCTGCTTGAGATCCCTTTGGTTAAAACCAGTCCATATTCATACGGACCTGGAATAAACAGTTGGCATGGCTTCTGGGCTCAAGTTCTTGCATGGGGACTCAATACCTATCAGATCTAGCCGTAGGACTGATGCTATGTTGTGTTGTGATAAAAACAAACTGAAAAATGTACCCACCCACCTACTAATTTCTCTTTATCTGGAAAGAGCTCATATCTAAAAACAGTTTTAGGGATGGAGGAGGAAAATCCTGGAATTTTAACATGAATGGTTAAATTTAAAGTGCATCCTATTGCAATCTACTTAGTGATAGTTCAGTGGGACTTACTTCCAGGATTGCAGCATTAGATCTATCAATGGTTGGACGAATGGTTAATAATCCTGCTCATGGTTTCATCCAGTGCTCATTATTTGCTTACTTTTCTGAATAGCACCAAATAACAGATTATAATTAGGATTTCCATTTTTATTCATGGGTATAATATACTGGTGAGGGGTGCATGGTCAGAAGAAACATTTCCTGAGAACCTATCAGTGAAAATTACTCCCCTTTTTGTCCTGTTACCCCTACATGCTGTTGCTTCTCCCTCCCACCCTTTTCCTTTCCTCTTCCTGGGTTTGCCACATAGGAAATTCTAACCAACTGGGGATCACAGAATGACGTGGATGACATCGTGCAGGTCTTCAGCCAACCGTGTTTGGCTATGCAACATAAAACCATCAGTGAGGACAAACAACATTAACTGAGAGTGAATGTATTGCTTCCTGGAATAGTCACACACAGAACCCCAATGAGTCAAGGATCGTTGCAATGAATGGGATGTTTTCATTATACTATTTAGCCAGGTTTGGCTATGTGTCCGTATTACTGAGGCCAAATTAAGGGAAGGGAGAAAGAAATGAGGGCAATGTAGATGAATAGGAAGAGGGGGCAAGGGGGCATTTTTTTCAACACTGCCCAAATGTTTTCCCCAAAAAACTAAATAGTTATGGCATAACCTTAATTACAGTGCTAGTGAATTTATGGAGCAGGGGCTTATTAAAGTTCATTATGAGCCAGATAAATTGGAGGATGAAATTATAGCTATCCTGTGGGACTTGACATTTGAGCACATAAAGGAAAAATAACTTGGGCATGACTGAGACTGGACTACTAGGGATGGTTACTGCCAAGTTTTTACTACCTTTAAAAAGAAATTAAAGCAAGCCCAGAATTCAAAGAACCACATGACGGGAGACACACACGCAAGAGATCATTAGACATATAGCAGTTTGTATTTTGACTCATAGCCTGAAATTCAGTTTACATTTTTCCTAATCAATGAAGCTAATATTGCTTACAGCTCAGGCATATGCCTCTGCTCGGAAGCAAGTCCTGTTGATTTCAGTGGGGTTTGCTACCTCATCCATGGGCAACGAGCTAAGGCTCAAATCTCCCATAAACAACAGTAATTACATGTGACAATAAATTGTGCCGCAATGAAACCAACCACCATTCCCGCCCCCAAATGGTAAAAACAGATCTGAAATGTTTCCCTGCTAAGAGTTCCTCAAACTGGAAGGAACAATTTATGAAAGCTCCATGTTGGAACTGAAGGCAAGTTAGTATCAGATTTATAACTGCAGCGCTGTATACATCCAGGGCATTATGTCAGATGGAGATATAGAAGATAAAGGTATCAAGCGCCTGATGAAGTGCAGGTGACCAGTAACTCTGTACTGTAAGCCGAAAGTCATATGTCAGTTCTTGCCTCTCTCTCTCTTTTTTTTTTTTGTTCTTGTTCAATGGGAAAAAAGTAGCTTTAGCAAGCCAAATGTTCCTCCATCAAAATCAAAAGTGCAATCTGTCAAATGCAGTTGCTATACAACAACCTTCATTGGGTTCTGCCAGGTTTGTATGGTGCAATTGGTTTCTGCAGCAGGCAATTTAAGATTAATGGATCTCCCTCCCCACCCCTTCTGTTCCTTTATTTTATTTTTATTTTATTTTTAAATAATGTATATTAAAGATTTTCCTTGTTTACAAAAGCACATGCATTGTCTCTTTCTTCAGGTTGTGTTTTCTATGGATCTGTTACATTTGTTGTGAGACGTTGGTGTTATATGCAGTATAGGGTTGGGAAGGAAAGAGGGGGGATGTGAGAGAGGGAGTGGGGTGGTGAAGCTTATGTTCTTTTACTTAGTGTATGTATGTGGGTTTTGTTTCACTGTCACTTGGGTAGGTTCTCTTTCTATTCACTAGTTATGTTTCCTTGGTGGTAAGAGAGGTTGGGGTGGCCTGGGGTGTGGTTGATTGCCTTTGGTTGGCTGCAGTGGGATTTGTTTGTGCATTGGGGGGGGGTTGTTGGGTTAAGTTAGCCATACTGAATTGTATGCTGTCAGTGGGTTCATGCTGTTGTCTTGTTGGGCTGTGTATGTGATAAAGGGGAGCCATGCTGGAGTGAAGGCATCCTCTTCTATTTCTCCCTGTGTCAGTTTCAGTCTATTGGTTAGCTTTTCTAGTAAGGCTGTTTCCTGTACTACTTGATACCAGTGTTCCATCTTTATTCCAGACAGGTCCCTCCAGTGTCTGGCTATGTTGTTTCTGGCTGCTGAGAGTAGGTGGGTTATGAGCTCTTTATAGGGTGAGTGGGCATTGTTATCTTGGAAGATGTTCAGTAGGGCCAGTTCTGGGGTGACTTCTAGTACCTGTTTAGTTATTTTGCTTATTTCTTGTATGACTGTTGTCCAGAAGAGTTGGGTTTGGGGGCATTCCCATCACATGTGGAGGTATGAGCCTGTGGAGGTGCAGCCTTGCCAGCATTTTGGTGAGGTTCCTGAGTGTATCAGGGCCAGTTTCCATGATGTTAGGTACAATCTGTAAGTGAGTTTCAGAGTGAGTTCTTTTCTTTTCGCTGATATGGATTTTAAGGGAGGTTTAGACCACATTCTAATTCAATTGGTGGGGTTATTTTCATAGCCTATGTCATCCTCCCATTGTTTTTTGATTGCGTCAATGGGTTTTTTTTGGGGGGGGGTGCAGCCATGTTTTATATATTGTGGATACCATCCCCTTGCCACATCCCATTCGGAGAAGGTTTTCAAAGGTGGTCAAGGGCCTAGTGGCTGTTGATTTTACCCCTGGGTTGTTTAAGAAGGCATGTAGTTGGCGGTGTGTTAGTCAAGGTATTTGGGTGTCCCCTAGTTTGTTTTGTATTTCTTGTTTTGATATAGGTTTGCTATTTTTAGAAGTCTGCTAGACGATATAAGCCTTTGGGCTTGCCAGGTTTTTATCTGGAAGTTTTGTGCTGCATGATGGAATAGTGGGTGATGAGCCAGGGGAATAAGTGGGGATGGGGTTGGGGACAGTTTGCCTACTTCCTCCTTCCATGCTTTAAGCATGATCTGTGTGAACCTGTTTAGTGTTGTGGGGATTTTCCTTAGTTTGTTTTGGAGGAAAGTATATGCTGGGGTGGGAGTGTTTTTGTTTATGTCTCTCTCCAAGTATATCCATTGTTTTGTCTCATCTTCTAGAATGTATGGATTATATAGCACACTTCCGGGGAGGCGCCGACTTCCGGGGGAGGCGCCTCCAGCAATGGCAGAATTCCTCTGACCGGGAGGAATCTGCTCCGTGGAAATCTGGGTCTGGCCGCCACGGCGAAGGCGGAGACCCGTTAAAATCACAGGCGGAAGAAGCCTGTGAACGTGGGATTCAGCGGGCACCTTTTGCGCCTCCCCCACTTGTGGGGAACCCCGGTTTTTGGGGCTCCAGAGCGACGTGGGGTGAGCGGCGCAGTGCATCGAATTGTCTGCTTCTTCCATGGAGCGAAGCCGCATAGCTGTTGCTGGAGAGCGCTGACCTTTTCCTGTGGACAATTTGACTTTAAAGGAATTACCCATGAGTAGAGCTGAAACGGAAGAATTGGATCTCTAAAAGCTTAATTTGGTATCGTAACGGGGAGGTTCAAAACAGGAAGTCCGCCTTCCCTTTTTGTAAATAGACTGAGGCAATGAAGTTGCAAGCTGGAGTCCTGGAAGGTCTTTTGTAAAAGATCAAATTTCCAACGGTAAAGAACATTAAACCCCCTCTTGGAGGCAGGAGAAGAGAGGGGGAAGTTGCGGATTGAGTATGCCTGCGGGAGAGAGCAAAGAGGCTTAAAACACCGCCGCTCTGACCCTGGAAACGGGCTGCTAGTAAGACTGACGTTTTTGGGGTTTTTTTGTTTTGTTTTGTTTTTAATGTTCATTGACAGTGTTTAGAACGTTCATTGACAGCTAGTTAAATAAGAGAAATACATTGTTTCTACTGTTTCCGGTTGTTCTTAAAAAAGGAGGAAAGTAACTGAAAATTGAAACTAACTTCGGATTATTGAAACTGTGTTTAAAAGAGGACATATTGACCGATACAAATACAATCTGTTTTCCCCCAGTGGAAGCTTTTGAAATTGGTTACTTTATAGGAGCTGGGCTAGGGGAACTTCCAGCTGCAAGATAAAAGAAGTGTGAGACTTTGGAATTGACCTTGAATCTCTTAAGTGTTATGGCAAACGGAAAGGAAAAAACAGACGGGATGTCGACAGAGGAGGCCTTAGTGGCTGCATTATTGAAAATAAACGATTCACTGGAACAACTCCATAAGAAAACAGATGCGATAAATGTGAAATTGGATGTTGCAAATATTGAAACTGATTTAATTGTAGAAAGTTTAAATAACTTGGGACAAAAGGTGAATACCAATTCAGAAATCACCCAGAAACTGATACAGGAATCTACTCTGAAACGGCAAACTGCAGATGAAGTCAGGGAAAAAACCCTTGCTGCTGAATCTAAAGTAATACAACTGGAGAGGAGAGTCCCATCCATACAAAGGCAACTTGATGAACATAAACTGACATTCGTTATGATTGAACTTAAAGAAGAATGGGTGAATTTGAGGACCAGAGCCCTATCTGAATTGGAAAAGGAAAGCCTGACAGAGTTTCAGGAGGCGACAGGACTAACATTGGTTGAGAAAGAGAGGTATTTGGGGGTTAGTATGACCGCCAAAAATGTGAATCTGCTTAAGGACGACTGTGAAGGATGTTGGATTGAAGAGAAGGGGGATTTGGAAATATGGACAAATCAGAAGTTGTTACTATTGGGCCGAGTTATTGTGGTGGGGATGAGGGCTGCTGTGTTGCTGGGGATGTTGCTTTTGTTTCAAACATTGCAAGCTCTGGATGGGATGGAGGGTCTTAGGAGGTGGCAGAGGGATGCTCCTAGAGTTGTTTGGCAGGGCAGGAAGCCTTGAGTGAAACTTAAGATATTGATGGATGCTAAAGAAGGAGGTGGACCTGCCCTGCCAGACCTTTAAACTTCGTTGTGAACCATCTGCCTTTTGCTGGTTGAGAGAATGGTTGCTTTTTGAAAACACTGAAGTGTTGGACAATGGCAGACGAAGTTGATGGACTATAGGGAATTGGCGGAAATGACTGGCAAGATCCGAGACCAGGGTGAAGAGTCGGTGGAAGAAGATTGGAAAAAGTTTAAAGACTATTTATAGAAATATTGTAAAATTAAGGAATGTTAGAAAAATGTTGGAATGAAATTACATGGCTTTAGTAGAAATGTCATAAGGAATTAAGTGTAAATAGATTAATAGAAAATTAAAGGAAAAGTATGGCAAGAATGTATTAAGATTATAGATTATAGAACAGAAAACAGACTAAGATGGAAAGGAATTGCTGAAACAAATAATAGAAGTGGAATACAAAAAGGGAGGTGTGAGGAAGTCGCTGGAAATAAGTGAATGAAATATAAGATATTGAATGAAATTTGATTTATTTTATTGTTGTTGCATTGTTTTGTTAGTTTAATGTATTGTATTGTATGTGTTTTTTCTTTTCTTTTAGTGTTTAAATTTTTTTGGAAAAGTAATAATTATTATTTATTTTTTTTAAAGCACACTTGGTTGGTGATGTAGTATAGTTCTGTGTTGGGGATTTCACATCCTGAATAGGGGAGGTGCAGGTG